ACTCTCCTGTTTCTATCATAGATTAGTCTTCCTTATTCAGCAACTCCATCTAAGTGTTGTCGTAGAATGTATATACTTTTGTGTTTTCACTCTTTTGTTCTTTCTGGAACTCCTATTAAACAGGCATTAGAACTTCCAGATTGATTTTCCAAATTTTACATCTTCTCTTTTAGTTTGTTTTACTTTCTGAGTTAATTTCATGAAACATGACTTCCAGGACTCACATGTTTAGGTTTTCTATTTTTTTTTTTTAATCACATTTGATAATGATCTCTCATAGCCTCCATTTCTCTCAGTGATCTGTAATGTTTGAATGTGGGCTCACTGTCGACAGAAGTTGCTCCTCCGTGTAGTAGGCTGAGGAACATCCCAGATGGCTGTTACTGTGTTTCTATCTGGGCCCCTTCATGTTTCACCAGGTCAGCCAATTTTTCCTACCTTGTGAAAGACTCTGTACAACTTGGGAGGGGTCTGAATGTAGACTCTATGAGCATGCATAGTGCAGGCCTGGAGTGTGAATACCTCTTAGTCAGGTGGACGGATCACAAGCTGTTTCCCAGGTACTTTCAAAGAAGGAACAGCTCCTTGTGATTATTGACTTATATTACAAGATGGTTAGCTTAGGTCCCTAAAAGTACAGCATCTGAGGCTTGCAATATTTTTACTCTACCAAGTAAGAACCCAAGACCCAATAGTTAAGGCCCACAAACCCTTAACTTCTTTGAGCTTGGGATCTTGTTGACTACTCAACTTTGAGTTTACTCTTTATTTCTAGCACCCGAGAATTTTATTCTTAGTTTCAAGTGTTTTTCTTATATTTCACCCAGAATTTCTATTTGTCTTGACGGAAAGGCTTTGTGACAGCTTTGTACCCCGTACCTACCATCTCTCTGAATGAGTTCCCTCTCCCAACCACAGAATGCAATCACAGCGATCCACTGGGCAAAATCGCCCTCACCGTCCTCCCATCAGCCACTTTCTTCCTCTTTCTCTTCCTTTCCTCCAGATTCTCCATCCCCAACACCCAGGCAGCAAGAAAGTACACCTTTCCTAGAGAGGTCTTTTGAGTGGGAATCAGGAGGGGAAACCCTAAAAACATCCACAGATATAAAAAGGGAAGGTTATCATCCTCTCAGTGATTCTTATAACTCTATTGAGTGAGTGACTCAATAGATTTTATAGATGTAAAATTAGTTTCATGTAAAGACAGAACTTTATTCTGTTTTTCTTTCCATATTACAAAGGTCTGTCTGGAAGGATATATTGCTTGGTGCAGAATTTAAAAAAAAAAATTCATTTCCAACTTTTACTAGGTTTCAAGATGGTACTTTTATCTGAAAGATATGGATGGAGCAGAACCTTGAGACACTGAGCAAAGGTTCCTCTGAGTACATGCTGAATAAAAGATTTAAATTCCCATTTGTCTTGGGCTTAGGTAAACAGTTATATATTGCATCCACTTTTGATTCATTTTCCTAGATTTTAATTCCTTCTTAGTCAGTAGCTTTTCCTGAAATGCTCTACACAGCCTTTTCTGCATTGTTTATCCCTTGAATTTCGTACAACAGTAGCAGCACCACATCTGGAGGTGAAATAATCCTACGGTTCTGGTGGTGTTCAGCCTCAAAAGCAGGAGAGGCACAAGCAGAAATAAGGGCAACAAGGAGTATTTGCAACCTGGATAATGTAGGCAGGGGCATATGGTTTTAATAATGATGGTGATAGCAGCTGACATGTATTGAATGCCATTTTCCTGGAGGTACCTGAGTGCCCTGCAGAGATAATACCTTTTCCATCCAACACTCCTTATTTAGCTATTGCTTCTAGTTCCCATTTCCAGATCAGGAAATGGAGGCACAGGGTGTTAAGAAAACTTTATCAAGGTTACTCAACTAGAGTTAGAGAAAGTGGGAAAAGGGAAAAGAAAAAAGGAGAGCTTCTTTAGGGACTCTAGCAAGAGCTTGTGGGCCATGTATTATATTTACTGTGCTGCAATTAATGTAATTATGCCATGAGGTTGCCAGTTTTGTGTCTCTTCATTCTCAATGTCAAATCTGTAGAGAGTGCGCCTGATAGGTCCTACTTTGGTCTATCCCTTATAAATTAATGAGATATAATCAGGGAGCAGAGGAATGTAATACAGAGATGGTCACCTCTCCATATGCAGGGCATTGTCTGGAAATCAGTATTGGTTGTAATTAGCCAGCCACTCCAAGTGTCATTGACTGCAAGAAGTTATCACATGCATATGCAAACACAATTTTCTGCAGATGATACATGTTGCAACAGAGTTACATTCATCAGCTAAAATACAGAGTAAGTTTTATTTTTGGTTTCTCTGGAGTGTATATATGTATACTGACTGAATTAGGAACCATTTAGTCTCTCAGTTTCCTTAATATGGAACTCTCCCTGAAGTGAAGGACTTCTATTTCTAACGGCACGCCATTTTAACTACTCTGAATGAGCCACCTGGAAAAAACAACTAACAATTATAAATTAAAAAAAAATCAAATACACTGATGAACTGGTAGGAAATAAAGTAATTCGCAGACGTTATACAAAAGGGGAAAAAAAGAAAAATGAGAATATTCTGAGAAAAAAAGTGAGGGTCAAAGTAGGCTTTTGTTCAGAGATTATCTGTCAAATGCAGTCACCTCCAGGCCCTGCTTTGATAGTTGTGCAGCAATCCAAGGTCACAAGACAAAGCCAATACCATTTCAAATGGCAGTCTTGTGAGAGATAAAAATCTGGGGCCCCAAAGGACTGTATTTCCTACGTAAGGAAGAATGAGAAATAAACCTCCTGCACAGAAGGTCAATAAGGAAATAGGCCTGTCTTGGCCTGGGAGCACAGTAAAGGGGTGGGGCAGAGTCCTCTAAAATCTATACCAAGTCATTCGGGTTAGAGGCTTAATTTCAGTCTATCAGTGTAATAAAAGAAACATCAAGTGGAGAACATTAATCTGGTATGTTCATGATGTCCCCAAGCAACTTTCTGAACCAAATTCTGACACCCTTCAAGAAAACTCAATTTTAACTCCAGCCTCAAAAAACAAGAGTTGTGAGTTCAACTTACAAATCCAAAAACAAGAGTTCTGAATTCAAAATCATAAACCATAAGGAAACAGGCATCATGAGAAAAAAGAGCCTATTTTTTTTTTAAGAGACATCACAATGACACAGAGAATTTGCAGTATTCTATCTACCAGAAAAACAATATAGACTGTTTGATTTGCATAAGAAATTAGAAAATGGCTTGAAAAGAGAATCAGGTAGGAGTTCTAAAACAAACAAAAAAAAATACTGAAAATTTTGAAATAAAACATAATACAAAGATTAAGGCAAATGTAGGCTAAAGAGAGAAAGTCCTGGAGATGCCTTTTAGATGTTCTATGGAATAAGGGGAAAAAGGGAAATAATCAACACTGAAGAGATAATGGTTCAGAATTTTCTGGAATTGTTACAGGACACGATGGCTGAAGTTCAGGAATCTCCTGAAATTCTAAGCCTGCTTAAAAAACTTTAAGGAAAGCAAAGAGAGGAAGGAAGGATAGAATCCAGTTTTAGATCATTGCAAAACTGCAAAACTGGGGCAGCGCCTGTGGCTTAAAGAGGTAGGGCGCCGGCTCCATATGCCAGAGGTGGCGGGTTCAAACCTAGCCCCGGCCAAAAATAAAATAAAATGATAAATAGTAAATAAAATGATTTTTAAAAACTGCAAAACTATCAAAGAGATCCTACAACAGGCAGAAGGAAGGATGGGAAAGAGGTAGGAAGCAAGAAAGGAGGGAGAGAGTGTGGTATTACATTTTAGATGTAAGTACAGAAAATAAACTTGGTGATTCTTATCATGATTAAGGTAAGGGTCCCTGAAGATTCGTCAGTATTGCAGAAAAGCATCCTGATTAAAAGCAGCAAAACGTCTTGAGTACCAGAGAATACAACGTAGGAAGAAAGCAGGAAACAGACACACACGCACGCCCGGTTTCTATGCATCTGAAAAACAGAAACAACTTTAAATTATGAACTAAATAGAATTTCCCCTGAAAAACGCAGAGAATTAAGAAAAGAAGGATGGAAAATAACAATACCTAAAATGTATTGACTGCAAGAATTTTTAAGAAAAAATTTTTAAAAAGAAACTGAGCAAGGAAGTACTAAATATATCATGACTGGTAAACATTCGCTAGGAGTCAATAAGAGTAGAAAAAGACAACATGCAGAATTATGAACCTCTAAAACAGGCTACTTATTCAACATAATCTAAAGTTATAGCCAGTCCACCCCGTTAGGTATTAAGGCTCCGTCCGTTATTCATGGTTGCTTACTGCTTTGGGGCGGGGACGCAGGTTGTAGGCATTATATTAGTACGAGGAGGAGACGGACCGCAAACTAGAAATAAGTAAATGGCTACTGAAAACTATTTGTGCATCTTTTAATCTAGGAAATGAGCATTCACTCGCTCCATAGCCTCAGTACAAACGACAATACTTTAAAATCACATGTGCCGCCAACCAGATGTCTCATTTAATTTTGGAAGTAGATAAATTCCAGCAGAGTTCTGTTTTAAACAATCCGAACTGCCCGAACTTTGCTGATTATTCTAGCGTTTAGAACCTTTGCTATTTGCCCAGCACTACTTGGAAATCCATGAGTCACAAACGCCCGGGCATAGTGTCACAGCAAAGAACAGGTGAAAAGTTGTTCCTAGTTGTGTTATTCAGGCGCATACAACTCCCGTCATTCTCTGTGCAAAAATCAACAAATAAACAGAGGCACCGCATTTCAGATTCTGTTGCGCACCGTCTGCAATGGCGCCTGGTTTTCGTAGTTTCTACGTGGAGAACCGCCGGGGCGTCAGTCCTGGCTCAGCAGGAATAAAACTACAGTTCCCACAAAGGCGCGGGGGCGGACACCGACGGGCCTACGTCATTACTTCTGCTAACCAATGACAGCTGCGGGCGGCAGTGAGGCAAGCGCCGTCAGGCGCCAAAGTGGTTTTTTTTTTTGTTTTTTTTTTTTTTTTTGCCGGAGTCGAGCGGGTGCTGCTAGCGGAGGCGCCATATTGGAAGGGACAAAACTCCGGCGACAGCGAGTGACACAAATAAACCCCTGGACCCCCTCGTTCCCCCAGCTCTAAGGGCCGCGATGTTGTACCTAGAAGACTATCTGGAAAGTGAGTGCGCGGCATCGGCGGGGGCCGCCGGTGGGACCTGCGGGCGGGCGAGAGCGCGAGTGGACGGGCAAGCGAGATGGCGGGAGGGAGGGGGAGGCGGGGGATGTTTCTTTCTCACGGTAACTGGCAGCCTCGATGTGGGCTGCCGACTCCCTGGACCCCCCTACGCACGCACGCACGCAGTGACGTAAGCGCGTATCTCTGTTGGCTCCGCCCCTCTGACGGATTCTCCCTTTGACAGTGATTGAGCAGCTTCCCATGGACCTGCGGGACCGCTTCACCGAGATGCGCGAGATGGATCTGCAGGTGCAAAGTAAGTCGGCGCGTTTACTCGTGTTCTCTGCGCGCGTTCAGTGCCGGACTTGCTGTCATCAGTGCTAGCTCTTACTGCTGTTTGTCCTTTGGCTCACTCCGCTTGTGCTTAAGGATTTGCCAAAAAGAAGCGAGTGTACTGAATCTTAACCGCCTTCTTCTCATGTTACTTTTCTTGTAGCTTTTACGAGAGGAGACGTTTGCACACGTGCATCTATTTCTCGAATTTGGGAATGCTAACTATATTTCTTTACATTCACTGAGAATATTTACATGTTTTAGTGGACGTCGACATAAACATATCGAACTTAGATTTCAGCATTTGTAACTTGTATTAAACTTCATTCTATTCAAAGTTTTCGAGAGTGGAAAACAAAAGCACAGGTTAATATGTAGAATGTCAAATTTTGAAAAGTTAGACGTTATAGGTTACACTTTGAATTGTCAACTACGTGGTTCATTTTCTTAATCTAAATGAGTGAGGAAAAGATTTTATGGCAAAGCTTCTTGTCTACTGTCATACAAATTTTGGCAGCGAATGCATTTCTTTTGCTCTCGGTGATAGCTTGGTAGGTCCTGAGACTTTTTCCCCAAGATTAACCTTGTTCTAACATAGAGTGAAGGCTGTAAGTGGGTAGTTTGGGAGTACTTGGTGTAGCTAAAAGTAGACCTTTTCTTTCCCCCTTCCTTTTCTGCCCCACCAACGCACTCACAATTTGTTCATGAATATGCTTTCCTTGGACTCTTGTCATTTGCAGGTGGCACAGAACACAAGGTAGAATCTTACGGAACCTACCTTCTGTTCAGTGGGTTGTAGTGTGGAAGTCTGAATTCTATGTGTGGTTCTCCAGGTAGCCAATGTTAAACCAGGGTTTAATTTTAATGTAGCTGAAATGCTGAAGATTTGCTGAAGCAGTGTTCTTGGTAGAAATGAGCACACGCTTTGATGCAGATAGAGCTGAGTTTATTTTAGGGCTTTAATAATTTACTCATCAATTTTGACTGTATCCCCCACCACTTCTGGGGGGGGGTTCATTCTGTAAAAAGAGAATCATCTGATGTTTTTAAATAATTCAGAAAATTAGAATATAGCACCTGATACAAGGTAGGCATTAAATAAAGAGTAACTCTTATTTTAAATATTTTCATTATTATTAAAAATTTTAAATTCTCTGGGTGGCACCTGTGGCTCAAGGGAGAAGGGTGCTGGCCCCATATACCGGAGATGGTGGGTTCAAACCCGGCCCTGGCCAAAAACTGCAAAAAAAAAAAAAAATTTAAATTTCTCTTGTAATTTGAACTTAGATTATTATACAAATTAGATTTTTTTAATTTGCATTTTGTACTAGAGTCTTCTAAAGCTAATAGATATTATGTATGGACTAACAGAACTGTATGCCAAATAAATTGGCAAACGCTTGTTTAAAATGAAGGAAAATACTTTTAAAAAATTAACCATAGGACTTTTCAGAATTTTTTTTTTTTTTTGAGACAGAGCCTCAAGCTGTCCCCCTGGGTAGAGTGCTCTGGCATCACAGCTTACAGCAACCTCCAACTCCTGGGCTCAAGCGAGTCTCCTGCCTCAGCCTCCCAAGTAGCTGGGACCACAGGCACCCACCACAACGCCTGGCTATTTTTTTGGTTGCAGCCGCCATTGTTGTTTGGCGGGTCCGGGTGGAATTCGAACCCACCACCTTAGGTGTATGTGGCTGGTGCCTTAGCCACTTGAGCCACAGGCACTGAGCCTGAGAATTTTAAAAAAGTGATGATACATAGAAAATTTTCAAAAGAAGACTATAGTAAAAAGATATTCTTCAACTTACATAACAGGATCCTTTTTATTTTTATTTTTTTGTATTTTTTCTTTTTAAACACATCCAGTGAGATGATAATTCTTGACACATTGTGGAAAAACTAAAAACTTGTCTAGAATAAGTAATATTTTAATATATTACTAGATAGTAATATGTAAGTATAATATATTAAGTGAAAAAATGATTGTACATACTTTTCATTTGTGATATAAAATGATGAGATATTTAAGTCTAAATAGCAAATATTTTTATCCCTTTTCCCTATTAAAAGAAATGTGAGGATTATCTAGTGGTGCTTTGTGTTTTGGCAGATTCCACTGATACACTACTTTTTGGCTTTTGACCCCTAGGCTTTACTATTAAAAAATGCTGTATAGTTATTGACTCTACTTTTACTATTGAAAAAAAATTTTGAAATAACAACAAAAATAAATTGTCAATAGGGAAAATTGTAACTTTTTAAACTAAAGTAATTAAATTGTAACTTTTAAACTAAAGTAATTAAGGCGTTACAGACATTTGTGCAATCAAGCATAACATATGTAAGTTATTGGCCAAGTGAAAGAGTATATATTGCCATTTTTATTTTATTCCTTCCACAAATCAAAGCGAGTATATTTGGTATATAAATTTGGTCATCTCAATATGAAATGTTTTTGTTATGTCATAGATGCAATGGATCAACTAGAACAAAGAGTCAGCGAATTCTTTATAAATGCAAAGAAAAATAAACCTGAGTGGAGGGAAGAACAAATGGCATCCATCAAAAAAGTATGTGTGACATTTCAGATGATGTATCAATAATTATTGAGATCCTCTCAAGAAGATATTTTAAAATTATATCATTTTCTGTGGGAAAAATAAAGGAAAGTTATCAATGGATTTTTAGAATTTAAGTGATTTATTATGTATTAGAGCTTCAGGTATAGAGGTTTTTAATAAAAGCATTTGGGTAATTTTAAAACTTGTTTTAATAATTAGTGTCTGTTAGAAAGTTACAGATCATTAAAAAGGTACTTTTTTTATTTCATTTTATTCTAGTTACATATAACTAATGATGCTGTTTTTAGAGATATAATACTATATTTCAATTTTGACCACAAACTGGAGTGAAAATCAGGAGAACCTGAAAAGTATTTTATACATTACTAGGTACTTAAATTGGTGGACTCATGGAACAGAATCTTAAAAGTTAGAAAGAGCCTAAAGAAGGCTTTTAGTTTACAAAATACAGAATTCTTTAAGTTTTTATTAGTTTTGTAGTACTTATAGCTCTCTTCCAGGTTAATGTGGACATCAATTCACAGCCCATGGCTACTTTTAACATACGATCTAGTTCATTCAGGGTTATGTCAGGAAATAAAAGATTTGCATTTAGTTAACACTCAGCCATTTAGCTGTGTGACATTGAGCAGGTCTTTTAATATTGTTGAGTAATACTGCCTTCTTACACTTGATCTTCCTAGAATTATTCAAGTTTTAAGTAAAAGAAATTTGGAAATTACAAATAGAGTAGCTGTGTTATTTTGTTCTACTGCATGGAAAGAAAATTGTTTCTGTTAGGAGGAAAAAAATTATAATCTATTATAGAAGTAGTCCTGGCTTGGAAGATACCTGGAGGCACAGGTATATGTGGGTTTAGACATCATATATATGTGTGTGTATGTGTGTGTATATATATACACACACACATATATATGTATATCCCAGAGTCAATCATCCCATTAATATATTAAGTTTTTGGTGTAGCACAACTTGAATATGCCCCCAAAGTCTGGTACTCTGTGGAAATTTATCTTCCTTTAATTCTTGGCCATTGTCCCTAATTTCTAATCTTTTCCCATCCTCCCATCCCTGTATCTCTAGCAAGGTTTTTATTATTGAGTAGGATTACTGACAGCGATAATGGTATAATAATGAAAATGTAATTATATTTCCTCCATATGCATACTTTAGAATCATTAATTTATTTTTGAAATGAAAATGTTTTTATTCAGGACTACTATAAAGCTTTGGAAGATGCTGATGAGAAGGTACAGTTGGCAAACCAGATATATGACTTGGTAAGTAAAATTAATATGCATGCAGGGTCCCAAGTATTTGAAAAATGAATTACATTTTAAATTTTATTGGCATAAATAAAGTAGAAAGACAGACTAAAACTCAAGTTTTATTCTCTTGATCCCACTCTTGATTCCATTTAATTTGAGAGCTCAGTATCTGTTTATTGGTTTCTTTGTGGAAGAGTCAAAGTCATCAGTTTTGGTTAATAGGCCAAGAAACTGACATTTTAGGGAAGGCTACATTATTGTAAGATTGTATCTAGTGTTAGATTTTTTTTTTTCCTTAAGTGAACAATTAGTTTGTAACTTTTATTTGAATAATTTTTATCTTTTTAAAGTAGTGGGTTTACTTGTCTGATGTATCATTTTGAGATTTTTTTGTGCTAAAATATACAGCCAAATATTGTGTTGACAAAAGTTCTTGGTAATCTTATTCAAATGAAGAAGAGAATCATTTGAATTGGTGTTTATGTTAATAAATAGTACTTTAAAAGTATGTCAGTTGTTTAGGAAACATTAGATGACATGAACTTTAATAAACTTTAAAAAAGGTTCTATTTTTGCAGTAGCATTTCTCAAAGATTGAAAGCACCAAGAAGACAGATATAATATGCAGTATTTCCCAAATGACGTATTTATGATGCACTTTTTTTTTTTTAATGTGATGCGTCTTCTAAAATGCATAATTTAGGAAGTGCTCATTTCTAGTTTTGCCTTAAAGTAAGTTAAAGCAGAAAACAAATGCTCACTTTTGGTTAACTTTAGTGTACAGATGTGTCTTATTTTTGCAGTCTTTCCTGGGTACAGTTTTATTGCTGTTCAAGTACATGTAAATGTGATTGATGAACAAGATATAAGATAAAAGATATATACCTCATATGGTGCAGATTATAAATGCTTATACTAAACCAGAAAACATCTGTCATGTAGAGCCACAGGAGATGTTTAGTTGTTTTTATACAGTGAAAATATCTTAATGGCTAGAATGACCTAGGCTCTTTTGTTCATGCAGTTGTTCTAGAAAACATTTCATAAAAGACACAGGCACTTACACTTGAATCTGTTTAATGACTGTGTATCAGTCTTTCCGTAGAAGCTACTTTTTAATTCATATAGCTCTTTGGTTCTCTTCTTTCTGTTGTCTGTTTGTTTTATTACTTTTTACACCGGTACTAAGATATTTTGTGCATTTAGAGAAAAACAACTTATATATATGCTTTTTAAATATGTGTATATGTACTTGTCTGTTATTTATGAATCACACTGTTCATCTTCTCTGTGCCTGATACAAATGGAGTTTTATGTGGGTATAATGGAGGAATAAAAAGTAAATACTAAAAGTAGTTCCAGTCTTGTAAACTATTGTAGTTGGGAAGACATACCCACAAAGTAGAGTGGAGGACCCACATAAAAACTTGTAACCAAAAAAGGCTAGCAAAATTGAGTATTAAGGGGTATCTCTTAAAAAAGTTGAAGTATGTTATGCAGAGTTACTGATTTCTTAAAGTGTATGAAATGAATTTTGAACACTTTATTCAGAAGATCAGGGCTTGGATTAGGTATTCTATTGAGGGGAAAATATTTCACTTAGAGATAATGGGATAAACATAGAATGAAAGTAAAAATTAATACATTATTTGAGCAGAATAGATTACAAAGGTTAAAGAATGAGGTAATAAAAGTCATATAATAAACTTAATAAAATACAATAAATGTAATAAAAAACAAATGTTCATAATGGATCCATACAGAGGTGAGTTAAACTCTAGCACAGCCATTTGCCTGACAGCATGATTTTGGAAGTTACTGAATCTTGAACCTCAGATTCCTGCAGTAAAATAGCAGTATTAATTTATACTTTGTTGGAAGAATTGCATTAAAATATATATACTGCTCTTAGGCATTCACTTCTTGTAAGACTTTGAATGCACCTTATTTCCTGAACTGGAATTTTGTACTTTTCTGAAGCCACTACTTCCCGGTCAGTTCTGCTAAGTTGAAGTTGTTTTCTCTCGTTACCATAGTACCTTTGTTAACACACAGCCTTGTCTGTTGCCTACTGCCCAGATTGACGCCAATATACTGAGACAGTCAAAGTTGCAGAAGAGCAAGAGTTTAATATCACAAGGTGCCAAGCAAGATGAGATGGGAGACATTTCTCAAACCTACTTCCCTGAGAATTGGGGGCTAAGATGTTTAAAGGTCATTTGGCAAATAAAGGGATAGGGTGTTTGGTTTGCTGATTGGCTGGGGATGAACTGTTAGAGTTGGGAAACAAATTGTCTTCTTGGCTGAGATAGTTCATGGATAAGGGTCACAGGACTTACTGGATCAGTTCCCACATGTGGCTACTGGTTTGGTTGATGTCAGTTTTTCCCACCGGAAGAATGCACAGTCTGTAAGAATCTCAAAGAGCACTCTTAGGTTTTTGTAATAGCTACATTATCTGTAGAAATAATTGGGGACGTCATAAATCTTGTCACTGTCTGGGATAACTGATGCTTATGCAGTAAGCAGATACAGCAATAGCCAAGTTGGGGAACAGTGACTGGTTAACTTTTAGCTATGTCTATGCTTTTGTGAAATCAGACTTTTATCACAATTCCTATCTGTGGCTTTACATTCTTTTAATATAGGTGGTTTTCCCTCTTGTCTTTGTTTTCTTTTCTCTTTCCTTCCCCTCTTTTCTCATTGCTTCCCCTGCTTTGCCCTCATCTTTTCTGTGACTTTTCTTTATCCCATTCATCTCCCTTTCTTTTTAAATATTTCATTGTTACTTCAGGTGACCATTCTATCCTTAATATAAAAATCCTTTCTTCTTTGAGACTTAGTGTTAAGCATCTATATTACCCTTTACATTTATTCTCACCATAATACAGGTGTCCTAGTGTCCAGTTTAAATTGCACACAGACTTTGTGGCCACCCTTTATAATGGCTTCTACGTCAGTCTTCTTCATTTATTAAGAAACTGATATCTGGTTCGCAGTTGTTCTCTGTTGAAATCATCTTCCTTCCTAGTCATCAGCTTCTTTGACTTTGGTAAACGCTAACTCACTTCAGTTGCCACACACTAACACGATCATTTGAATTGCCCTATCTCTGAAAAACCTCCTGCATGTCCACATCCTTCTACTTTATCAGCCCATTCCTGCCCAGTGGGAGCTCTGGAGCTCTTTTCTTACCATTTCACATTGTTGCTGTCGTAGGGCATGTTTTTACTTGCTGTAAAGATTGCTACTCATCGCAGTGAGCTAGCACAGCTGGAGAACATCATGCAGGCATGCAGTTGGTGCCAGTACAGATTCATTGTTTTCATTATCATTTGGGCTCTTTACATTTGACATGACCTGTTAGTCCTTGTTTTTGAATTTAGTCCATTTCTTTTCTTGTTCTTGCCAGTGGCTGTTGAACACTATGCTGCACTTACCATACAAATATCTTCTCCCCAATCAGGTGGGCTTTCCTGACACCAAGAATAACACATTTTTAGCCTGTCTGGTGGGAACCCAATGAAGTATCTTTTGCTTATTAATTTTTCAAAATCTCATATTTCTTTCTAGCCTTACTCTCTCACTTCTTATCTCAGAGAATGAGGTGTTACTCACCCTTTATTTTCCTCTACTTTTCTTCTTGTTCTTACCCTTCCGGAGGCCTCTGTGATTTTACTGCATCACTTAATGCCTTCTCTTCCTTGTCTTCAGCTTTTCTTTCTCCTGGCTTCCACATTAAGGTATTTAAACATGCTTAAATCTTCCTCATATTTAAAAGAATCCAGGCAACCAAACAGACACACATAAATCCTCTTATGAATGACTCTACTTTAGCTGGCATTGTCTTTCTTGAGTTTCTCATTTAGCCTATTTGAAACTCCCTTGCCTCAGTGAGTTTATTCTTAAACTCAGACAGTCGGGGTCCTATTTACCACTCTTATGAGACTTCAGTTGATAATTTTTTTTTTTATTGCTTAATCCACTGAGCACTTTTGAGTCCTTTTTAACTGAGTCAATTGGGAAGTTTAATGCTATTTGCCATTCTTTCTGCTTTGGCGTTCTGTTGTGAATACTACCACTTGACAGCTCTCAGCAGATTCTCCCTCCTTATCAGTCTCCTTCTTGGATTCAGCTCAGTGGTGGCATTTAGAGTTCTTTGACCTATGCTGTTTCTTAATCCTCAAATGGTTCTCATACAAAGGTAAAAGTAAGTCTCTTCCCCTCTTCTGCCTACCCAGAGGGCCAGATGCCACACAGAGTTGTTCTGTCAAATGCCAGTTTTATCCCTGACCCTCTGTCCCACCCAAGTTGAGAGACACTCCATGACCTTTCCATGTGTTCTCTTAGTTTTAACTGTTTACACATTATTTCTTTCTCAAGCCCAGACTTTACTTTGTGTCTTTTCATCATATTGAGAATTTCCAGCCACTAGAACTAACTCAGTGTAATAATCTTAAAACTCTCAGTCTCCCCTTTTTCTTCCCCACCTCTCCCTCACCCCTTTTTTGTTTGTAAATCTCAGAATCACTGACCTTGTAGCCATTCAAACTAGAATACCCTAGACAGCTGTCTGTCCTTGACTTCCTCACTTTTACTCACCATGTCTTGTTCATTTCACTATCTCAGTACTTGTTTTCATTTCTTCTCCATTTCTTTTGCCTAGTGTAGTTCAAGTACTTTAGAAACATATTGTGGCTTGGCACCTGTGGCTCAAGTGGCTGAGGCGCCAGCCACATACACCTAAGGTGGTGGGTTCTAATCCAGCCCAGGCCCACCAAACAACAACGATGGTGGCAACCAAAAAAAAAAAAAAATGGCCAGGCATTGTGGTGGGCACCTGTGGTCCCAGCTACTTGGGAGGCAGAGGCAGGAAACTCACTTGAGCCCAGGAGGTGGAGGTTGCTGTGAGTTGTGATGCCAGAGCACTCTACCCAGGGGGACAGCTTGAGGCTCTGTCTCAAAAAATAAATAAATAAAAATAAAGACATATTTGTAGGTGTTATAATTGA